GTGTGAAATTCAAAATGGAATTCATGAAACCAAATAGGCTTTGAATTTCTCAACTGAAACCATTGGATGTTGTCTGTTGTTGTTAAGTGCTGTCAAGCCGATTCTGACCCATAGCGACCCTGTATAAGGTTTCCAAGGAGCTGTTGGTGAGCTTGAACCGCCGACCTTGCAGTTCAAACAGCTTTGCAGTCTGCTGCATTGACCCACATCGCCACACCAGGACTCCTGTAGTCCTGAAAAACAAATGGGTATGAAAACAAGCAGCTCCCTACACCCAGGTTCATCACCTGTGAGGGTCCTTTGTGTCTGACCTGGATGATGACCGGAGGCCCTCACAATGTGGTTATGACTTGTCTGAGCTTGGGAAATGAAACATTCAGCTGAATAAAGGAAGCTGTTACTGCCACAGTATGATCCCACATCATCTGGGGCTTTCTGTTTAAAAGTGGTAGCTCTATATATGCTGACATGGAAAGATTTGCCAAGACATGGGTTTTGGTGAGAAAAAAGAAAACTGAAGAGTAGCATAGATGACTTGATATCCCATTTATGTAAAAAATAAAACAGGGGCCCTATTTGTGACACATGAAGTTAATTTTATAAAAAAAAAAAGTATTGCCCTCTCAAACAGAGCATAAAGGACCGGTACAGCTGACCCAGGTGGTGGAAGACATGGTGATGGTTTTGATGGAGGGTTCTCTGAAGCTGGTGACCCAACAAGAGGCTCCAGTCCAGGGGCTTCGCATCCCAGAGATCCCCATGAGTGAACCAGTGGAGGCCGTGGCTTTGATTGGGGATCAACTCCAGGCCTTCCGGAAGCATAGCGTGCATGTGTGGGCTCTAGACTCAGACCAGCTGCTGCAGGAGCTGAGAGACCCCACTCTCATCTTCCGTCTTCTTGGCTCCCCCAGACCCATGGTGGTGGAGACACGCCCAGCTGATGATCCCACTGCCCCAAGTAACCTTTACATCCAGAAATGAGCCTCTGAGTGGACGTTAGGAACCAGACTTTGGTTGCATGCACACTAGTGGTCATGCTATGTCTGTCTCCAAATAAATGTGACTCTAGTCTCAAAAAAAAAAAAAGTATTGCCACAAAATCACAGAAATTTTATTAAACAAAGATATCAACAGTTGACGCTATTGTCTTTTGACATATCCTCCAGCTAGGTCTGGACATTTCTGAAGGCAATGTTTCCCTCTACTTAACCCCAATCTGAAAGAATTCTATACTCTTTGATTTACACGTCAAATGGCAGTTTGAGTATTCTCAAGGGACTCACATCATGTTCCTTTTCATTGTTCTTTGAGCTTTGGGAGAAAATGGAATTTAGGATCAGGGCAGTATGGCAGATGGGGTAAGGTTTTCCAATGAGATTCTCATAGGACAGCCCTTGCTACCCTTGAAAAATGAGCAGGAACAGTGTCGTAATGGGAGCGGGGGATGGCGAATCTGCATAACTTTCCTGGTCTTTTTCTCATCAGTGCGTGTTCAGTTTTCTTAAAACTTCATCATAAAAACTCCCCATGATCATCCTGAGTCTTTCCAGAAAATCTATCAAGATTATGCCTTTGGGTCCCCAAAACCAATCACAATAACTTCTGAGCTGACCTCTCTGCTTGAATTGAACTAGCCCAACAGATCCCCTCAGAAGCCACTTTTTTGGACGGTCCCCTAATGAAACCAGGAGAAGAGTATCACTGAGAGAACTAGTCTGCAGCCATCCACTTCTCACAAAGACATGTTTAATCATGGTTTGTTTGGAATAAATCTGTGCATGTATGAACTGGAACCTTAGTAGCAATGCTTTTTGACTTACACACATATAAACGTAGAAAAAGAGGCAAAACAAAGTGTATGGGACAGCTATGAAAGTTTCACATCTTTCTGTAATTAGATTCATTCCATAGCTATTGGGCCCTCCCTGTGTGCCTGGCACTACTATAGGCATAAGGATTCAGCAGTTGCCAAGAGATAAAAGTGCTTGCCCTTAGGAGCTCAGATTGAGTGGGAGAGACAGTCTAATAGAGTTGGTAATACAGGTAGTCCTCAACTTAAAACATATTGGAATTACTACAAACTACATTTACAACCTCCTCTTTTTGTGGGTGTTTTAAGTGTATAATTAGTAGTATATACTATGTACAGTGTTGCAATGTGTAATTTAGTGATGTAATTATTCTCAAATATTCACTCACAGTTCAATACTATGATTTATAAAGATACTGATAATAAAAGACAATAATAGTGAAAACTATACTATATATAAAAAACTAAAACATATATATATATATATATGGTTTTCTACTTAACAACAGACTTGGGGTACAGTGGAGCCTCCAGAACAGTACCTTGTTGTAAGTCAGGAACTGTCTGTCAAGGGGATGGGAAAGGCAGGGCAGGTGGACAGGAAGTGGAGTTTCCCTTGTAGATCAGGTTGTCCGGGAGAGTGTCACTGAGGAAGATGCTTCAGAGTAAAAGACTGAAGGAGGCCAGGGATCCAGCCACGTGTGTTTCTGTGTGCTCCGGCCCTTAGGCATGAGAGAACCTGTTGTGTTGGGAGTTGCACTAGGAGCCCAGTGTAACAGCCCGAGCTGACAGGGAGGAGACAGAGTTGATGAGGACAGCTGGGGGCAAGGAGGTAGGCTGTACAGCACTGTGGAAAGGACTTGGACTTTCACACTCAACTGTATGGGGGTCGGGAGGCATGTTCCAACTTGTGTGTTTTAATTGGATCTCTCTGGTGGTTGTGTTGAGAAGGAAGAAGCAGAAAGACTAGTCAGAGGCTATTGTCATAAATGCTGTGTGGTTGCTTAACCTACAGCAATGGCAACAGAGGTAGTGAGAAATGTCCAGAATGTGAATCTATGTGTTTGAAGATGGAGCCCCTGTGAGCTGCCGACAGAAGGGATGTGGGGTGCAAGAGAATGGGAGGAAGCCTGGGTCTTTGCTATGAGTTGCCGTAAAAACAGAGTTGTCCTAACTGAGGAGTAATAAGCTGGGGGCAATAGCAGGGTACCAGCACAGTTTGGGATATACAGAATCCAAGAAGAGATGCCAGGTGGGATCTCAAAGATCCACTAATAATGATCATTTTTGTTATTTTAAAGAACAAATGGAATAGCTAATTACAGTCAACCAAAACTGTGAATTTATGTGGCAGTCCTGCACATGAAGGCAAACAAACCCTTTAACAAGAAATTATATTGGCTTCATATACTATATTTGTGTACAGAGACACCAGAGCTAGTGAAATCTATATATATAAGTTCAGCGCTCAGTAGGAATGAATAAAACTGAAGCTCCTTCAGTTACACTAAGAGGTGGAAGATCTATTTATAGCTACTAATTAAGGGTCTCTGTAAAGAAGGCATATCATAAATGGTAAGTGGTAAACAGCAAACCGTTCTGTGGACTCAGGCCTCGTGATGGCTTAAAATTGCAATGCAATTTGGTCTCCCCAAAGCCTGAATTTGATTATAGTCCATTTGCCTGCCAAGGTAAGTCCTCAGCTGGTATTCTCCTCAGCCAGCTTCAAGCCTTACTAACGTTTATTGTGCTTGTATTGTACTTGAAAGAGAGATGCATCTGGGAGGCACTTCAAAAAAGGAAAGCTAAAACAAGAAAGGAAGAGAGAAAAGACAGTACCAAGGATGACAAAGAAAAAACCAAACCACAGAGGAGATGTAAAGAAAATAAGTGAATAAATAGAGGGGCTGAGGAGAGGGAAAAGAAACCAGTAACCAAAGAGAATAAGAAAGAGGAAAAGAAATATTAATGAAGCATGGTTAGTCAGAAAGGAAAACTAGAAGAAAGTAAAGTAGGAATGTTGGGATATCTAGCAGTGACACCTTTTCTCTTCTCTCGGGCGTCTTGAAAGCGCAGACCTATACATCAGCCTAATGATTCTCATCCAGGGGGCATCCAGACAGTGTCTGCAGACATTCATGGTTTTCATACTTGAGGAGGAAGCTAGGGATGCTGTTGAATGCCCTGTGGTTCAAAGGACAGTCCTCACAACAAAGACTTCTAGCTCAAAATATCAAGGGTGCCGAGATTGAAAAGACCTGCATCGTCCCATCATCATCTCAGATTCCAGAATCCTAATGACTGGGCTTCAATCTAACCCACATTTTCTGACCTACATATGTGTTAGACTGTAAATATGTCATGTCGGTGGTCAGACCTCATAAAACATATTGCCCTTTGGCTAAGAAGGTTTATCCAGAGTTTAAATGTCATTCCTCTGTTCTTCACTTAGCAAATACTTAGCGAGGATCTCCTGAGTGCCTTCTACTACCACCAGTTATGGGAGGTTATGTGGGATTCAAAGGCAATCTTTAGAGATGAAGAACAGATGAGTGGTTTTCAAGGGTTAAGGACGTGGCAGGGAAGAGGGCGGGTTGTGACAGTAAAGTCTTCGCAGTGGGAAATGTTTATAGTGGAGTTGTTCCGTGTCTGGTTACAGTGGTGACTACATGATTCTGTGCGTGATGAAGTGACAGAAAACTCTTAATTATACCAGTGTCAGTTTCCTGGTTTTGCTATTGTACTGTTCACCTTCATGTATAATCATGTAAGATGTAGCTATTGGAGGAACCGGGGAAAGAGTACATAAGTCCTCTCCATACTATATGAGTATTTGCAACCTTCTGCAGGTTTATAGTTATTTCCGAATAGGAAGTTAGAAAAATAAATCAAATCTTTAAAGGGGAAAAAGAAAAGAAAAATTGGCCAGTTAATGAAAGGTGTGCACACATAGAACTCTATTCCAATTTATAATGGAAAGGCCTGGAAGAACAGTAGGTTTCTTTGAGTGTGATGTTGAAAACCGAGAAAACAAACTTGTTCTCTAGTAAAATTGACCTATTTGAATGCAGTGCCAATAAGACATAAATTCACTTTCTTGCTGAGTTAAAATACTTCTGTTTCAGTGGAAGGCCTATATTATCAAGTCACCTCAATATCTAATATTGCTTAACTGTATGTTTTGCTACAGGGACAAGCGGATCTTTTGAAATATGCTAAGAACGAGACTATGGAGAATCTGAAACAAATCCATTATGCTGCTGTCTCATGTGGACTGAATAAACCAGGCACCGAACATGCTGACATTCAGAAGCCACGCCGGAGCCTGGAAGTCATACCTGAAAAAGCAAATGATGAAACTGGAGAATGAAGGAACTTTCTAGAAATCATTATGGAGTTTATAACTCTAGGACCAATTGTAGTCAAATGGAACATTTGCTTTGCACTCACTAATGAAAATAATATTTGGAATTTTAAAGCACAACTGGAATAGCTCATTACAGTCTATTAAAACTGTGAATGTATGTAGCAATCCTGCGTGTGAAGGCAAATAAACTCCTTAACAAGAAATTATATTCCTGGCCAAAATATGCTATATTTGTATACAAAGACATCATAACTCAGTTACGGTGTGAAGAACAGAATATTCACTCGAGTTCCATTGAGAAACAAACGTTTTCCTAACTGAAAATGATTTCTTAAGATGGAAATGGTCTGGAGTGTCAAATTAGTATTTATTGGAGAGAAAAAACAAAACCCAACCAAGACTAATCTATACATTTCTTCTTTTCTGTGTGATTGTAAATGATTTCGGTGGCATGCTTGCTGAGCCATAAGTACTAAGGAGAATGTAATTGGACAGGTTTCCTGAATTGCAGGGCACCTGGAGAGCCATCATGTACAAGGACAACGTGCAATTGGACTGAAACTCCCTGACTGAAGACACAGATTCTGTCAGTAAATGGGGGGGCCATACCATGTAATAGCAGTTCAATCTGGAAGCAACACACTGTAAATAGTTTTTCATTGTGTGAAGTAGTGTTCACATTAAAAAGATGTTTTATGATATTTCTCCAATAGCAGCATATGCTTTTAATGAAATTTTTAAAAAATTTCTAGCTCAAAATATTCCATGTACTCTTGTTGTTGTGAGGGACCATTTGGTTAATTCCAACTTATAGCAACCCCTTGTGACAGTGTTATTGTTGTGTGCCATCAAGCCAGTTCCCACTCATAGCGACTCCTACAGAGCTACAGGTAGATTTGAACTGCTTACCTTGAGGTGAGCAGCTCAGTGTGTAATCCACTACCTCAGCACTCCACTGTGGCAGAGTAGAAATGCCCTATGGGATTTTCTAACAGTCTTTTAAGAGAGCATGTTACCAGATCTTTTCCCCACAGAACTGCTTGGTAGGTTCCTGTGACAGGCCATCAAATAGATTCCAGCTTATAGCAACCCCATGTGACAGAGTGGAACTGCCCTATAGTGTTTTCTAGGCTGTAATCTTTATGACAGCACATAGCCAGATCTTTCCCTCACAGAACCACGGGGCGGGTTATAACTGTCAACCTTCCTCTTAGCAAATGAATGCTTAACCATTGTGTCAGCAGTAGCAAATTATTTGTTGAACAGCTTTGTCAAAACTAAGGTGCTTCTCTGGCTTGAATTTATTTTTCTTTTAATACATTTTTGACAGGTTTGGTCATTATAACTGTCGGCTGTAAAATGAACCAAGACACCCACATCTGCCCTCTTGATGCTTCTGCGGTAGTGCCCTACTGAAGTGGGCCAGGAACAGCAACGACAGTAGAAAGTCGAAGGCAGTTAGTGGGGCTGAGCAGATGGAGCTTTCCAGCAGCTTGCTGAGCTTTTAATCCTAGCTTCTTTTTCAAGTCAGTGAAACTCTGTGCTGTTTCTGAAGGGATGCTGGATACTGCAATCCAATTCCCACTTCTCCCAAACCAAAGTAGTTTTCAAACTTCAGAAGATTAAAAGCTCCCTAAATCTTTAATAAACCCTTTTCTATTTGTTCGTTTTCTTTTCAGTGGTTCAAGTAAGTGAACCAGAGAAGTATGTGCAATCTTCAACTTGATAACTTATTAGTTATTTCCTTGCTTAGGGAGAGGCTCAGGTAGATGAATTCAATTTATTTTTGCCTATAGCTCCTAAATAGCCTTTTGAAAAATAATCTCTTTGCTCTGTTCTTGTCATTTGCATTCTGATAGTGTGCTTATTCTAAGGCACCATCTCCACTGGTCCTTCTCACAGATGTAATTCCAGTTAGAAAATTAAACCCGTTCCATGAATAATAGTACAGTTCTGTGCACACACCAGCTAACTGCCAGCCAATAGCTTAGACTCTTAGCTTTGAAATAAACTCTTCCAGGGGGAAGAAAAAAGGCGGTGGAGAGAGGGGATGAGATAGGCAGTCAAATATAGCAAAGAATTAGAAGTAGATTTATAGAATGAGAAAGTAATATGTAATTTAGATTACTGTTAGCAATCCTTGAACATAGATGGTAAGAAAATAGAAATATTCACTTAAGGTAAAACTCTAGAAATGATAGAAAATTACTTTTAAAGTACAATGAAAAAAAATGGGCAGAGTTATGGTAATGATGTTGTTGTTGTTATGTGCTGTGGAGTCGGTTCCGACTCATAGCGACCCTGTACAGGGTTTCTGAGGCTGTAAATCTTTCCGGGAGCAGAAAGCCTCATCTTTCTCCCGCAGAACAGCTGGTAGTTTCGAACTGCTGACCTTGCAGTTCACAGTCTGATTCGTAACCACAACACTACCAGAGCTCCTTATGGTAATGACAGGCATCCTATAAATGCTGACTCTGTCATGTAACTTGAATGACTAGTAACTGGCACTTGTAACTTGTAGTAGTTTCTGTGACATAAGCCGTGGGTTCAAGGGTAACAACTGGAGGATAGGGTGGGTTTTGTTCTGTTGTGCATAGGGTTGCTATGAGTCAGAACTGACTCGACAACACTTAACAACAACATTCTAGGCTAAGAATCCACAAATTTTAGAACTGAAGGAATCTGTGAGAGCACTCAGTTTAACATGTTCTTTTCCACATAGAGAGGTTGTAGACAAAAGAGATGCATTGCCCAATGTCAGGAAGTCAGGTTGGGACTGGACCCAGCCCAGGGTTTGCTCTGCTATATCCCTGCTACAAAGCCAACTTTTTATTTTTTTTTACATACCTCTTTCAAGAACTAAGCCAAGTGACGGGGAAAAAAACCGACACACTGGATTGGGGGTTGTTCCCAAAGCTTCAGGACTTCTATGCTTGCTCATGTCCTGTACCAATGGTTGTTCCATATTTCATCTAAGATGATAAGTACATCAGCAGGGCATGCATTCATCTCTTTTTCCAATTCTAGTAGAAACAGAAAACATCTATCAGACTGGCTGGGAACAAGATAAGCAGTTTTACCTTGTATACAACCAACTGGCCTCTTCCAGGATTGAGCTTGTGAAGTTCTTATTATGTGGTTGTGAAGTGCTGTTGAATTGGTTAAGACTCACAGCAACACTATATACAGTCTCTGAGGAGTGGCTAGTGAGTTTAAAGTGCCAACCTTGTAGTTCACAGTCCAGTGCTGACCCTACAACGCAACACCAGGAAGGCCTCATCATAAGCCCCACTAATTAAATGAAGGATTCCTGGTGTGGCACTGTAGGATCAGAAGTGGACTGTGAATCACAAGGTCAGCACTTCAAACCCACCAACTTCTCCTTGGAAACGCTAAACAGGGGCACTCTGAGTTGGAACGGACTCGACGGCACTCAACAACAATTAAATGAAAATGAAAACCTGCACCTGGGTCTCATAAGTTGTGACAGCTGGGATTGCATGGTTTCCTTTTGCCACCTGCACTTTTGACCTGAGGAGCATCCATTTAAGGTGCCTCTTACAAGTACAAGTACAAGTGGCTTGGAGTTGGTTCTGAGTCATAACGACCCTGTACAGGGTTTCTGAGGCTGTATATCTTTACGGGAGCAGAAATCTCATAATTTTTCCACGGAACAGCTGGTAGATTCAAACTGCTGGCTTTGAGGTTAGCAGCCCGTCTCGTAACCACCACACTATCAAGCTTCTTGGTGAGTACAAATCATGTTCTATTAAATTGGCAGGTGTGTACCTTCTGCACATCATGATAACTAGGAGGAAAGTGACCAGAAATAACATGAAAACAACAGGTAAGTTCTGCTGAAGACACAGGAACAGGAAGAGTTGGACAAAGACCCATAGAGACTGTAGCAAACACCTAGTCTGGTCAAAAAAGCCAGACTGGCAACCTGTAAGTTTGAGCCGGGGCTCAGATTTCCTGAATTGTGTTTATGTTACGTCCACAGAGTAAGTCCTGAGATATCTGTAAACACACTAAGTACATCCTGCCTCTTCGTTGCATGTTCTTGTTTAATCCATCTCTGTACTTACGCCAGAGTCCTGCTGAATGCTGTCAGCTGGACTGCAAATTGCAAGGTCAGCGGTTCAAACCCACCAGCTGCTACTTAGAAACTTTGTACAGGGTTGCCATGAATCAGAGCCAATTCCACGGCACTTAACAACAACAACCGCCAAAAGCTTACTTCTTCCATCTCAGGGTAGGTGTGCTGCAGAGGCCAAGGTATGGGAAGAGCTCTATTCCCACAGGTTGGGTGTTACTTCAGTCTACAGAAGGTTGTTCCTCTTCACTGGCATGGAGTTGACACACATGCGCTGAGTGGGGGAAGGCATCCAATTTGCAACTCTTTCCGTATAAAATCTTAGTTCTGTAGCCTCATTGTCTATGTTAAGGTGCTTTGAATTTGTTAGCTCTTTAATCAAGTGTTTAAAACACTACATTAAAACCCACTGACATCAAGTCCATACCAACTGATAGCAACCCTGTAGGACAGAGTAGAACTTCCACGTAGGGTTTCCAGACAGTAGATCTTTGTGGATGCAGACAGTCTCATACTTCTGTTATGGAGCAGCTGGGGAATTTGAACTACTGACCTTGTGGTTAGTAACCCAATGCTTAACCCCTTACACCATGAGGCCTCCTTTAAACAATATAAAATTTAGGGCAACCATGGCACAGCTCTGCTGTCTCCATCCAGTGAGTGAGGATGTCCAAACTGGATCCATTTATCTGGCATTTTCAGGGGTTGCTCATGTCTTAGCCTAATATTTAATATGAGTGGACCTAACATTTTTCTTTATTGTTATTAGATGCAGTTGAATCGATTTCTGCTTCATGACAACCCCATGTGACAGAGTAGAACTGATCCAGTTCTTGTCTGTAAACTTTTCAGATGCAGACTGCCGGGTCTTAATTCTGTGAGGCTGCTGGATGGATTTGAAACACCAAACTTGGTAGCAGCCTAGCACTTAACCATTGTATCACCAGGGTTTTCCATTACCTGGAAAAATGCTCTATGATGTTTTACATTGGACCTCTTTGTGGGTGTTGCATGCAAAGGATTGTACTTATGTCACTATGTAGCCTTTCATCCTTTCAACAACCTGCAAGGCATCTTTCTGATAGTTAGAGATGAAGAAACGATGGCTGTAGACAGGTTGGTTAGCTTATTCAAGGCCTCAGATGTTCATGTTAATATCTAAACCCAGATCTGTCGACTTCAAAGTTTATACTTCAAGCACTATACTGTACCCTCCTGAGTCCCAAATGCGTATTCACTTCTAAACTACAAGATGGGTGTTATCTCATAAAGAATAATGAATCCATTAGCATTTTATCTCTTTCATGCTAAACACCAGCTCCCTAGAAGCCAATAAGGTTTATTCCTATCTTACTGAACACATTTTAGACATATGGGATTCACCATGAGCAAAATTAGGCATGTTCCCCAGTTTCCTGGGAGCTCACAGTTTAATTGAGTAGAAAGACATTTGATCAAACAATTACAAAGATACAGGTTCAGTTAAAAACCATGAAGTAAGCAGTACCAAGAGGCTACCTGGATTCACATCCTAGCTGAATACTGAGGGGAAGTGTCCTTAACCTACTTTTCCTCTGTTAACTTAAGAAGGATTAAGCATGCCTTTCACTCACAGG